CCTCCATAACGAGCGTCTCCAAATCAATAAACTCCCTCAGTCTCGGCTGCTTCCCCCTCTCCGCATAATCACACCCCGCGGAACTAATAAGCAGCACATTCGGGACATCCGCCTTCTTCGCAGCACGGACGAGCTCCTCGCTGATCTCAAGCTTATGCTCGTGAGCAGGCGGAACGAGACAGATGGTGTCGCAGCCAGTGTCTTGTAGAGTTTTGGCCATTACGCGAAGACGGCCGGGCTTGTGGGCGACGATCTTGGCGCCGAGGTCTTGAAGTTCTTTTGCTTTGGGGGACTCGGGGTGGAGGGTTAGACCGACGACGGAGGAGACTTTGCGGGAGAAGTCGCGGTGTTTGAGGATGAGTTCGGCGATGAGAAAGCCGGTGTTGCCGTCGACGGCGGTGATGCAGATGTTTCGTGACATTATGACGGTCTCGTAGGTGGTCGAAATGTTACGATGGGATGTTGAGCCTTACGAATTGATGCAAAGGTGCAGATATTATTATATGGCGCTTTGTAACTTATACTTAAGTTTGGTCGTCACATCTGTTGGCTCCCCTCAGGTAACACAACTTTCGTCATTCATCGCAGTTGACTCCCGTTATGATGCTTTTTTGACGTACGTTTGGCAGAATGCCAAAGATGTCAGAGCGGAGAAAACCCTCCGGCAACGCCATCTACGTACGAAGGTTGTCATTTGTGAGAATGAGACATTGCTGGGAACCGAGCAATCAATACTGACGACAATATTGCGAAATCGCCAAGTAAGGCGGGTGAAGCAAACACCAGCCCCCCACTTCGCCCCGGATCAGCATATCGGCCTAGCCCAGCCTCAATAATTACCTTGTATCTTATAAATATTATTTGCCAAATCTCTAAATAGCCTCAACTATCTGTTGCATTAGGTAATGGGATGGGGAGACTTTTTAAGCCTGCCTTTGTCTTTGAATGGTGAGGACATCGGAATTTCCTATCTTGGCAATGCCACGACCCAAGTGAAGTTTCAGCGTAGCAACTCCTGCGTTTTAACCTTGTTACAGGCGAGGCGTGGTTTCAGCCAAGAGACAAGGCATCATGACTTTATTTTAAGGGATGAGTCTTGTCGAACATATAAATATATAGATTGCATCCCATGAATTGCCGTTCGCTATTCTCCCATCCCTATTCTCTTCAGCATCAACTTACCCCCTTCAACAACCCTCTCCTAGGCCCGGTGCTATTTCTTCTTCTCCCATAACACAACAGCACAAAATGCAGTTCGCCTTGATCTCGGTTATCTTTGCCGCCAGCGTCCTCGCAAAGAATGGGTAGGCCTTTTCTTTGCACCGTGTTGTTGAGTATAGCTCTGCTAACACGCCATCATAGTTGTGGATTTCCCGATGGCCCAGACTGCGTCTCACTAGGCAAGGGAAGCGACGGCTTGGAAGTATTCCGTGATAATGACGGCTGCTGTCTCCTCCCTGCCCGTTGCGGTAACGAAGCCGGCGTCAATTGCCGTCGCGAGAACGAGGGCCCTAATGGTCTACCGATCAACAAAAGGAGGGCTCAGAAGAACTACAAGGCATAGGTCGAGCGACGAAAAAGAACAGGAGGATGAGTGAATTGCGTGTCGCAGAATTATGTACTATTACAGGATCAGGTCTAGCTCAGGTAGCGAGAGTGACACTGAATTATAATTGCATCAACAAGCACCATTTTGAATCTACCGAATACTTCCATCAGTGAGAGTGCTCATCCAGGGTTATGCTAAACCTATGATGTGCTGGATATGCATTTAAATCATCTCAATGGACATGAAATGGAAAGGAAAACCCCAAGCTGCCGGCGAGGTAAGCCTTCGGGCCATTCGCGTCGTTGGTCCCATTTCATGCTGTCGAGGCACCTCTAGGAATCGCACACTCAAACTACGTAGTACGAGCGATAAGCTTAAACTAAGCTCTGCAAAAATTCTTATTCAGAAGAAGCTTGTTATATCCCGACCTCATAGTGGTAGTGATATCGGCAAGGATATGAAGCAAATGTCGTTTGACAACTCCCATCAAGACTACCGATCCCAGAAGGCGAACACCATGGAATGCACATAATCATCATCCAGTAATAGGCTGCATCAGGATATTGAAAAGCTATAGTGTCGTTGGTTAGTTAATGCGCTAAAAAGTGGTTAAAAAGAGAAGAGTCTTACCCATTCTTCGAGTTCTCCCTCATTGTCCCGAAGTTCAGCATACTTCTCGTGCAGACGCTCTAATTATCTGTTAGCTTATAAACCCTTCTTGGCAATGCAAAACATACCCGAACTGCGGAACAGAACCCGGTCAATTGCAGTGTCACCCGACAGTGAGTCGAGGAACTTATCAGCATGCGGGTCATTGCCAACCTGGCTGATAAGGAACATTGTTGCTAGTCACCCTCGTCAGCATATTCTTTAATACAGGCTAAGTGCCACTTACATTCCTGGGGATAGTCCTTCTGTTCCAGGCGCCGTCCACACTCCTCAATCGTCTTCTTGAACGTATCAATAGGCTCAGGACTCGGCTCACCATCTGTGATAGTGAGAACAAGGAACGGTCTGTCCAACTTGCCATCCTGGTCAAGCTTCTTAAAGACCAGCGGCTCCAAAACCTTTTTCTTGAGGTTTGTGCCTATGTTGGTACCACCACCTGGTTGGAACTGTATACGAGCATCTATCTGATCAGCAGTGAGGTCATTACCTTGATCATCGCTGTTGATGAAGCGCAGATGGGCACCCGAGTTGTCGGGGACAAGACGGGTTGCGATACGGGCCATACGCTGGACTAGACTCCTCATGGCTTCCATTCTTGTGCTGACGACTTTACCGTTGGCGTCGAGTATGTTGGCTTGCATTGAACCACTGTCATCTGTGAAGAGTAAGTTAGTGCTTCCTCAATTCATGAGGGGATGACGTACCACAGTAGAAGATCGGTTGATACAAGGCAAGCTTAACCAGACCTTTCATCTGCTCGGGATCTTTGAGAGGATTGCTTGGATCTTCCTTCAACTCCATTGCCTTTTCAGCAACCTTTTGTAGATAATCATTGCCGGGAGCGAAGAATTGTCCGAGGTCACTATCCTCGACATACTTCTCGACTCCCTTCTGGAAATCATCTACGGTAGTAGGATTGCCCAAGTCCTATCATGGGTTAGTAGATGTTTCGCTGACTAGTTCGTATAACTTACCTGAGCCAAAGTCTGGTCAGGCGGATCTCGTCCAATATGGTACAAGTTGGATACCACGCCCTTGACCACACCGTTGATGACTCCACTGTTCACATACGCCAGAATGAACAATACAAAGTTGACCAAAGCATTGATCAGTTCAGGGAGGCCTGCCATCTGCTGCCCAGGTGGAGAAACAGCACGCTGGATAGCAGGATTACCTGACTGCTCAGCTAGTACCTTTGCCGTCTCGCCCTTAGTGTTCGTCACCTGAAGTGAAGCCCCGGCGTCGATGAGCATGTTCACAACAACAGGGTCTCTAGCGTGAGTAATGGCCACCATCAAAGGTGTATCATTATCGACTTCTGGGCTGGTCTCATCGACCTGAGCACCCTTTTCAAGAAGCTTTCTCACGACATTGACTCTGTCGCCGTTACCATTGGCAGCAATGTACAGTGGAGTCATGCCAGGCTTGCTCATGGCTCTGGGGTTGGCATTCTTGTCGAGGAGAAGATTGACGACTGAGAGACGTCCGTACTTAGCTGCCATACCGAGAGGCGTGAAGCCAGTCTTGGGGTCTTGGGCGTTGATGTCAACACCGCTGGCTAGATAGGCGTCTAGCTTGGTGGAAGTTAGAGAGCCCTTTCGGGCGTCAATGAAGATGTCTGCCATGTTAGAAGCCCAAAGACGTAGAGGTTCAATAATTGCAAGAATGTGATTTGGAGAGCGATGCTTCAGTAGGTAGCTGTCGGAATTGAGATATATTTGATGAGATTTCACGAGGAGAGTAAACGCCTACATTACACGGTCTCTCCGTCACATGCCATTCTGAAGCTCTTCCATGGGTTACATGCTTCCCATGGACTTTTTCGGTAACGGCATGACCGACTCGCAGCTGAAGAAGAGTGACAAGTCAATTTACAATTCGGCTTCGTATAATAACGCCACCAACGGGGGACCCTGTAGAACACCAGCAAATCCCATATAGCCGAGACTGATAAACGGAAAAGGTTGGCTCGGCAAATAGTCTCATGATCAATATTCAGACTGCATTTCAGCTTCGAGATTCACGCCACAATCACAAAATGATACCCGAAAGGGCTGTGGACATTGTTATATCCAAATCTAGAGATATCCGGCCTGTTCCGTTGAAGATTTACAATAACGGTCTGTAAGTTGATGGCTGAGGTGACGCGGCTTTTGTTGGGTTGCAATATTGAATGCAATATGCACTGCGACACAACCTCAACGTTTATGCAATGCAGTCATACGAGGACCACAGTATCTGTCAGACAGTGCTTTGCCGCTTTAACGAAATCGTCGTCATGGCTTGACTTATCATGAAGTTTGTGTTTTCGGCAGTTGTCCAGACTATCCGAGCACATGCAATAGGTCGCCAGAATTCTCTGCGGATAGTTCCCAAGCTGCTCCAAGTCCGTCTTTGGGTTCGGTATCTACGTTGGAGCTGATGCTTATCAAACTCCTGCTTCAGCAATGCCGTCGCAACATTGGCTCAAGCTTTGCCTACTGAGATTTTGGTTGATTTGTCTTTAGATCCTGTTTTTGAGGTAAAGCTCTCAGTGCTAGGTCTATCAACTCAAAATGATACTCTTGTAAATACTTCAGGCAGCACGCAAACTACCCACACAATTGCCCAAGAACTCTACAGTTCGATGAAAATCATTAAAGAGTCGTCAAACATCAATCTCAGAGTAAAGCGTAGAGTTTGGGGATATAAGTAGCATATGAGCCCTTTGAGAGACATGGCATAAGAAATCTTCAGTACTTGTATCCGAGTTAAATTGAGTATATTGTTATCTGAGCACCCACTAGGGAGTCTGAATAACTAATTGATCCATAGGATCTATGAGTGAATGTAAGTTCAAATGTCACACTACCGAGAAGACGGCGCATCTTAATGCGAATCATCCATATCCGCTTGTCCAACTAACATCCCCACCGAGGCTGGCAACGTGGACGAGGGCATCCGCAGCCGCAACTGTAGCAACCGCACATGTAGCCCTGGCCGCAGCCGCAGCTACAGCCTCTATAGCATCTGTAGCCACCACCGCAATAGTTGCCCCAGTTGTTGCCGTAGCATCCACCAGACTCGGCTTTAGTAGAGGGCACAAAGTCTCCATCTTGGCTGAAAGAACCGACGGTGTCGCGAGACCCGGTCTTGGTAATGTTGTAGACCGTGTTATTGGCCAAGACGTAGGCCTCAAAGTTGCCGCTGTCTTTGTCTTTGGCGACGATGAGGCTATTGACGGTATCGTCAAAAGAGGAATCAGGGAGAGTGTCCTCTGCTTGAAGTTAGAATGACTGAAAATAGGGGAAAGGTTAAACTATGCTTACCAGTCCAGTCACCGGACTCAAAGTCCCGAGTGTGAACGTGGATCTCGTTATCTTCTCCGAAGAAGCTCACAATGAGAGCCTCGTCGGTCGAAAACCCAGCAATTGGAGTTCCAGTTGCTGCGGATCCAGGGATGTCAAATTCCTCAGTCCACATATCGGAATCCTTATCGTGCTTGATTGTCTTGATAGCACCATCAGGCGCCTGATACACGACCAAGTTCATGCTAGGGAGCCCTGCGACAGTGACGTGCCCTTGATCATGGACAGACACGTCACCGAGGCCTTCGAGCTCGGCTTCATCCCACTCCTCAGAATCCTCATCATACTCACTAGCCTTGATAAGACCATCACTATTGATGTATACAGCGAAGATCTATTCGTCACATATTAGAGTAGTTCCGCTTGCAATTTGATGTACTCACCCTGTCTTTGGCCACAGCGTAAGCTGCAGTTGAGTGCTCCCTCAGTCCAGCGGCAACCATCCGCTGGTCCTTGAGCTCCTCGCCATCGTAGACCCTCTCGACCAGACGACGGCCCTGAATGTCGATGAAAGTAAGATCGCCGTTGGGAAGGGTGTTGTGGCCCGCAGAGTGAAGGGCACGGGCGATAGTTTTGATTTCACCGCTCATGATGAATTCTCAGGTCTCAAGAGATTTAGTGATATGGATGTTGTGATAAAAAGGTACGAAGAACTTGATTGCCATGCTGTAGTCTGATACCGTGGCATGGCCTCCCAATTTATGGCGTCGAAAAAGAGCATCGTCATACGTCGCTGTCTCAGAACCATGCCGCTTTAACTGCAAGCTGCTGTAGAGATTTCGGCTATGAAAAAATCTATCCAATTACATAGCTAGGATGGTGTCCGAGTCTTAGACATAAGGTGTGCTTTGACTCCAATACTGCGAGGTGACATCACCCTGCCTTTCAGCTCTCCGCATTTATCTACTCCCTGCATATCTTGACCCTGCAACGCACAGTACGCGTCTTCTCTTCCAACCCCACCTTGATAACGGTGGTGTTGCGTATAGTTATGCGACGTTGCACAGAGTCTGATGTTGTCTGCTGATACCATGCAGCTATCCTGAAGAGAAGAAATGGTTTGCAAAAGGCTGGCTGAGCAGACCAAAGTCCCAAATAGTTGGTGAATGGGTGACCTCCATTTCGGCTTATTTGTTGAGTTATAGCCGGCACGGCACGGCCCTCGCTTGAGAGGTCGTAGTGCTTCTGGGAGAAACTGAATAAGGGAAGTGATCAGCAACTTGTCAGAGCTGAGCTCACCAGGTGCATGAAAAATTGAGGAGGTTGCTGATCTGACAGGAGAGGTCTAATTGCTTCCAACAAAATGTTGGATCCGGTAGGTGATCAGCAACTCGGTGAAGCTGAGCTGACTTGTGATCCAAGCAACCTCGAGCGGGGTGTTGTTAATGGTAGAGTTTCTCATGGGGTCGCCGCTGAAGTAGCAGCCACTGGTCACAGGTCAATAATCAGCTATCTGGCACCACAAGCAGCTAATCGGACTGATAGATCTTCAATCCACCTGTTGCTTCACTTCAGTCAAGCCAAGACAAGATGGTATCATCATTAGTTCCCCAGAACCTCTGGCACCGAGACCGTCGAGGCGGAGATGCTGGCAGAGAGCGAGAGAAAGACCCAGTTCGTTATGGTATCAACTCTATCAGTGACTCTGTTATCGGCCAAGCAGTCGCGAAGCTAAGATTTACCAAAGATGGAGCCGGCAAGTATCCCAAGAATCTCAATGCTTATTCAATCACTAACACGACACTTGGTTGTAGAGAAAGGTGGCAATGGCTTCTTTGTCAATATTCCTGGCCAGGACAAAGCAATCATCTTCACAGCAGGCCACAACCTTATGGATGAGAACGGCAAAAGGACCCAGAACCTTCGGGCCTGGTGGTCTGACCTTGGGGAGAAACACAAGGGGGTTGAGATCCTTGAGAATGATACTCGCGTTAGCAAAGTCTTTTCGACCAAGCCTAACGAGGAGTCTGCCATTGATGACTTTGGCATCATAATGATCCCCAAGAACAATAATGATCCCCCTCCCAGAACAGCCTTTGGATTCGCGCTAAGACTTGCTGAGGAAGAAAGACTGGAAGGCATCTGCAATATCTCCAGCTATTTGACCACCGCCAAACCTGGCGAGCCGCCTACACGCAGTACAGGACGCTTCGTCAATCCTATACTGAAACAGCATCAGCTTGAGTATCTGACGTATACTGAGGCTGGTGTGAGCGGCTCTGTGGTATGGACTGGATACAATGGATCTCCTGTAGCAGTGGCTATCCAGTAAGTAGGATTACCATGATAATTATATCCCATGCTGATAGAATCAGTAACTATGGTCCCAAACGAAAGAGTCCCAAGTACGGCAGTCGTGGCTCCCGTATAGACATGAAGATGATGCGAGAGATCATGGAATGGACTGGCGTCTACAAAAGGGCCGTTGCCATCATAGCACAACCACTCGGCAGAAAACAGCCACCTCCCCCACTGCCCCTCTGCATGGCGTGGTCCGAACAAGACAAAGTTCTCCGCGTGCACGTCCAAGATGACACTGAACCCACCGCTGAAGAAGCAACATTCGAAGCCCTCCCAGTTTTTTCCGCAGCAATGCTCCTTGGAAAAGAACCAAAGGAGGAGATTGGCTTCGCACAGGTCGACAAGAGACCCAACGCTGCAAAGGACGCGATGCGCTGGGTGTCGTGGAACTTTGACTGGAATAACGTTAGTTTTGCTAGTGCCCTGAGTAGAGCGCGGTTGGTCAAGTGGGAAGTGAAGGGGCCATGGGAGGGGAAGATTGCTGGGATGACGTTTAGCTGGGGTAATACGAGGCAAGAGGTTGTGTTTCGGTTTGATGATGAGGTTGTTAAGAAGTGGGAGCTTGCCCTTCCTGATACTGAGTACACCGGTATTGCGTATCAGGACAAAGGAGATCCAAAGTTCCAGGTATGTTGACATATTGTCTGTCCTTCTGTTGCAGTCTTGGAGATTATACTAACTGATATCAACTGCAGGATTGTTATAAGAGATTTATCATGGAAGATGCTTAGTCCATTCAAGGCCCCCACGTTTACTTGCACTTGTTATCAGTTTGGTTACATGTTTATACTAAAGCTCTCTGCTGTCTTATTCCCTAAATTACTATTATTCAGTCTATAGTTCGTGGAAGATTCTCACATCTTCAAGCTTACCATAAGGCCACAGATAACTCTGCACGTGCCAATCAATTTGACAACCCGCTTGACGCTGTAACCTCAGAGAACTAAATGTTACTCTCGTGAGCCTGAATAAGCTAGCGGTAAACTTCCGAAACATCACAATGTTACATAGTCAATCTGTCCATCCACTTTCACTGTCTCCCCTCAGGTGTGAAAAGACATGCTTACTGTGATTGGGCCGCTTACCTACCACTACGCCCAGCCAAGCTAATATAGTAGACCACCTTATCACAAGTCAGCTCATGGTCTTTTTGGCTGATACCCTGAGAGAGATACGAGGGGAGCGGTTGACTTGCCATTAACCGACCTTTCCCCGGTTCCATTATATTTCACTGGTTACAAAATGCAGGGGATATCAAAAAGACCCTAGGCCGCCTTATAGGGCTACTAGCACCCTCGATCCCTAGGATTAGTCTAGAGGAGGAGCTCTTGTTACCCCTCTTCTGCACATCTCCATCTACATTCTACATCAAGATTCATAATCATGGCGCAATATTACTCGGATGAGCTCGATACCGAGTCCTTCCGCCTGGCGACTCTCTCGACGGACATTCATCCGGACACAAAGACCCAAGTCCCCAGTGTCACCCTCACGAAACACCCCCTCTTCGGAGCTTCAGACCTCCCCTACAATGCCCTGTCTTACACTTGGGGTTCACCGCGAGACAGCCCCCAACTGACCGATAAGATTACCAACACAACAATACTTCTGAATGGGCTATCATTCGAGGTCCAGGCGAACCTTTATGATGCTCTTGTTGAATTACAGGTCTCGTGCTCAGAAACTCCCATCTGGATAGACGCGCTGTGTATCAACCAGTCCAACTCCAACGAGCGATCTCCACAGGTCTCCGTCATGAACCAAATCTACGGAAAGGCAAACCGCGTTATTGTCTGGCTTGGAAAGGCCTTCCCCGAGCTAGAGACTGGACTCAGAGCAGTTGAGAGACTCGGCGCTGCGTCGGTTCCTGAGACGCTTCGCATGATTCGGACGCAGACCTGGGATTTCAGCTCTGATTTGTCAACCATGCCGGAGCGCTATGGTATGGACCCTGTTGACCAGGAAGAAGCTATTGGCTTGGTCGCGCTCTACATGAGTAATTGGTTTACCCGGGTCTGGATCATCCAGGAAGTTTCCCTCACTAGCGACGTGGTCATTCTATGTAGCGGCAGATTCATGGTCTTTGACTACGTGGGTTACACGGCGGCATTTCTGCACTACAGCGGGTTCTTCCAATCTGTAGCGGACCTTATTCCTAAAGACAGGCCTGGTATTTACCTTCGTGGCGGGATCAACATCTTTCATGCAGAGAGAATTCAGTTACTTCGTGAATGGTGCAAAGGCAAGAAGAGTGAGTGGACCGGTGTCCTTGCCATGATTGATCTGGAGGCTGGCCTCGCAAAGCATCATGCAAAGCCCTCGGCGATGGTTCCCCTACGCGTGCTATTCTCAACCTTTGGGATGAAGGCGACAGATCCTCGGGACTCCATCTACGGGTGGAATGGTATCTTGAAGCACATGGCAGCTCAAGAGGGGGTTTCTCTGCCCTTGGTATTCGAGCCAGATTACGATATCGAAACCAAAGACTTGCTGCGAAACGTCGCCTGCAACATCATCGAGACGACTGATTCTCTTGTCTACCTAAGCCTAGTCAAGGACCCCAGCAGGCGGGAAACACCAGGCCTTCCATCTTGGGTTCCTGACTATCCACCGGTTCTATACAATAGTGTCCATGGACCAAACTTCAGATCTATAGGCACTTTCAATTCTTCGAAACACGTTCCCCATTCCCCCAATCCATATCCATTCACCATCACTGGAGAGGTCCTTCGCGTCTTTGGCTTTCGCCTCGGCACAGTCCAGAAGATTGGTGAAGGTTTTCTTGAATGCCTTCAAGGCCGCCTTAAGATGCTCGGCGACATTCTACTTACTATGGATGAGACCTATCCATACACCAACCAGCATGCAGACGAGGTTCTTTGGAGAACTCTGATTTGGGATACTGACTTCACAAATAGGCCCTCGAAGCTCATTCGGCTGGAGGACTTTCAGAGGGCCGTTGCGCATGATTTCGTACGTCCGCTACAGTATTTATTCCAGGAAGCAGAGTCAGCCGCTGCCGGCCATTCTCTGGTCCTTCAATCAATTAGCGACATGGCATACCTGGACGAAATAGGTGTCAAATTCCCTAACAGTATATTCCCCAGCACAAAGCTCCTCAAATCCCTTTGTGCCAGCTCGGACACTTTACCTCAAGATAGTGATGGTTGTGGTGAGGAGGAGCTACAGAAACTTGTGGAACCACTGTCAAAGCATGCTATGCCACCTGGTAATATCATGGCGTCGACGTGGATTTACCGCAGGGCTTTTCTCACTGATACGGGGTATTTGGGCATGGGACATGATTCGACTCAAGCCGGGGATGAGCTTTGGATTATCTCTGGATCTCCTGCCCCGCTGATTTTGAGAAAGACAGGAGAGAGAGATGAGTATTGTCTCATTGGAGAGGCATATGTACATGGCGCTATGCAGGGAGAGGCTGTTACTGATGAAGTGACTTGGGAGAAGATTAAGATAGTCTGAGTCATGATAGAGATATAGAAAGTGGCAAGCATGGTATTTATAGTACTCGACAGTTCTCCAGCAGTGAATCTTGATGGCCATAAAAAGCATATTGGCAGCTCATTCTGGTCCCTTGCCTAGTCCTTGATCTCATTCTTGTGAAAGATATCTGTCTAACAGTCAGTACTTTCACTTTAAATTAAAACAGTCAACTAACCTGGTACTTCTGGCATCCAAGTCTCTCTATACTTGCAGAAGAACTCTCCCTTGGGAGGGAACTTGTCGGGTTCGTCGAAAGTTCCCCACATGATGTATCGAAACTTGTCCGCAGCTTGTTCGCCATATTCACAGATAAAAGCACCGCAATTGTCGCAAAACTCCCGAACTACGCCATTCTCCTGCTTGAAGGTCTTTGGCTTGCCTTGGTCGTAGCTAAAGCCATCGAGTGCGACCTGCATATTGTCAGCGGGTTAACCTGAGTAAAGGAAGGTTATAAACCTTTGTTGTGAGTCCGAAATTGGTTCCAAATGCCCTTTTGCAACTTCCACAATGACAAAGTGATGTTCGTGCGTCATCGGGTGAGTCCAATGAAACGCTGTATTTGACGTTGCCACAGACGCATTTTCCGGTATAGTTGGGCATAGTGGCTGAGATAGTAAGATAGGTCTAATTAATTGACGAATGAGAGTCGGAGCTTGATCGAAGGAACTATAGGAAATAGTGAGAATTTGTCTATCAAGGTGTTGTTTGAGACGTGGCTGGCATATGAATATTCTTTGCTTTCGTGACATCACTCACCGAGTCACCATGCATCATAGTCTTGACGTCAGAGTTGGTGTGACGCTGATAAACGTATGTCTTGCGTTGACCAGACATGGAATCCGTTTGATTTACCCAGACTCCTCCAGGAGTAACCCTACACTCGCTAATATCACAAATATATCTTATTGATTCCACCATCTCGCCAGTAAAGACTCCACGCCTATGTCAATAGAAAAGTACCGGGTAAGCAATTTGTCTCGGAGCCAACACCACCATAACTGAGCATTCCATGTGAAGTAATACGGCTCAATATTATGCCCCGAGTGATCAGTATTATTCCTGAATTGTCCAATTGACTGTCATGTTGAGGAGGCGTGATAGGAAAATTGGTAGTCGGACAATAGTAAAGACCGAGATAGCTTCACGAGTCAGCAAGTAAGCACAAAAGTGGAGACGCCTCGGGACTTAGAAAAGCCCGACACATTCCTCTGATACGAAAAGTCTCGACGCCCAACTCAACCCTGCATATTAAACCCACCTCTTTCTCCCAAAGGGAACCAGACTTTTATACGAAAAAAGTATTCCTCGGGCTTTCAAAGTCCCGAAATCACCATGTCTACCCCAGACTCATCAAAGCCCAAGCCCCATCGGGTCCTCGCTTGCGTTCTCTGCCAACAGCGCAAAGTAAAATGCGACCGCACGTTTCCCTGCTCAAACTGTGTCAAACATGGAGTTCAATGCGTCCCAGCTACTCAGCCTCGTCAAAGAAGACGACGATTTCCTGAGCGTGAGCTGTTGGATAGGTTGAGGAGGTATGAGGAGTTGATGAAGCAGAATAATGTCAAATTTGATCCTCTTCATGAGGACAATGGGACAGAGAAGAGTTCGCCGAACGATTATAACTCTGACAGGGATGAGGAGGGGCCACAGGGGAGAGCTGAGGGTGTAGCTGAGGTCAAGTGAGTCGACGTCCTCAACAACTTATTGAGTTTGAGCTGACCAAGGTAGAAACATTTGGCATGCAATGCGGCAAGGGGTAATAATATCACAATAATCTTCCACTAGAAAAATGACTAACCTATGTTTAGTATCGAGATCCTAGCGACAGCTTCTTCGACACTTTCCGTAACGCCCACGATCAATCATTCAGCAATGATGAACATATGCTTTTCGGCTCTCGACAAACATCCGTTGAGCTATACACTCTCCACCCAGAACCCGCTCAACTCTTCAGGCTCTGGCAGGTATACCTCGACAACGTCAACCCTCTCCTCAAAGTCACGCATACACCTACTTTGCAGGGTCGCATTGTCGAAGCTGCGTCAAATCTCAAAGAGATTCCTTCGACTCTTGAAGCTCTCATGTTTGGTATCTACTGTATGGCTATACTAAGTCTTACCGCTGAGGAGTGTGAGACCATATTTAAACAGACCAAGGAGGAACTCTCGACAAGATTTCAGTTTGCATGTCAGCAGGCGTTGTTGAACAGCAACTTCCTCCGTACGGGTAGTCGAGATTGCTTGACTGCATTATTTCTCTATCTAGTAAGCCGTTTATCTAAACCGACTCTTACTAACACAATTCACTAACTACCTCAGGTGTCTGTCCGCTCAGCTAGCCACCCAAAGTCCATCTCAAGCACGCTCGCCGTCGCAATACGCATCGCTCAACGAATGGGTCTCCAAAGCGAAAACATCAACGCTAGAAGCAGCGTTCTCGAAGCAGAAATGCGCCGAAGACTTTGGTGGTCACTTGTCCTCTTCGACTCTCGAGTTAGCGCTTTGGGAGATCATAAGCCTACGAGTCTAGCCCCAGGATGGGATTGCGCTTTGCCCATGAACGTCAGTGATTCTGAACTTCGGGAGGAAACAAAAAGTCCGCCAAAGGTCCAAGAACAAGCTACTGAAGCTATATTTGCTGTCGTGAGAAGCGAGCTTGGAGAGTATACTCGGAACAGTCCGTTTTATATCGCGTTCACGAATCCGCTCATGAAGCCGTTGGCTAAGAAGCTTCCTGAAGGTGGAGCTGATGCTTTGGAGAAAATGGTAGAGGAAAAGTATCTCAAGTTCTGTGATGCCGACAACCGTCTTCACTACATGACTTTGTGGACGGCGAGGAGTAGTATTGCAACATGCCGCTTGATGAACGACTTTCTGGTCTATCTCGAATCGTCAACTACGTACAACCAAGCCAACCATGAAGCAGCAGTCTCCTACGCCATCGATTGGCTCGAATGTGATGCCAAACTATCTAGTTCACCCTTGACGAAAGGCTTCCGGTGGTTTTTGCAACTCTACTTCCCTTTTCCAGCCTACATAAGAATTATCCAGCACTTGAAAACTCAGCCTTTCAGCAGCGTTGCGGAAAAGGGATGGAAAGTTATGAAGGATAACTATCAAGCTCGGTATGAGGGAGCAGATGCCGATAGATGGCACCCCATCTTCAAGCCATTTGCGAATATTGTTCTATTTGCTTGGGATACAGTAAAGAAGGCTCATGACCAAGCGGAAAGGGAGATAGAGACACCAGAGTTGGTGGACTTTATCAACAAAAAGACAGCGGATATGTCTTTGGATGGAAACGAGACAACTGGATCGCAAGCTCAGGGGATTGCTGGGATGGAAATGGACGGTGTTCAGCTTCAGATACCGTTTGGCTTTGGTGACCCGGGTGTGTTCTTTAACATGGGTGCACAGCCTGGGTTTGATCCCGTTACCTCGACACCATATATGGCGGGTGGTGCGCCGTTGACAGTGGATATGAGTCAGCTCAACTGGGGTTCGATGAATTGGGGAGCGGCTGGGATGGGTGAGAATGGGAGTTGGTAGTGGCATATGAGGGAATAAGAAATATTCAACCGGAGGTGCTGACGATAGATGTGACGTGGAAACGAGGTACTGAGGTATATCACCTTAATGAGATGGATGGGTAGACTTTGGTATCCTACCTAATATGTAATGCGTTATTACGTAGTCTTCGACGTTCTCTGATTGTATCTATCCATGCGACACTACCGATCCTGCTTCTCAGATCTAGGCCAATCGAGATCATGTAGTTGCATTTGAATCCCGGAAATACGGTACTCTATGCCTACGTGGCCCAAATGTTCTGCTTACCATCGAGCTTTCACTTTCTCGACGTATCCATTGGCTTAACATAATATAAACTGTGGTTCTTTCTTCTTCAATTGAATGTCATACCGCCGTGAATGGTCTGATCACCAAGTACCTGGTTCTTGATCTCACCCCAGTTATTATTGACAAAACCCGCAGCCTTTGACTAAGAGATTGTGAGGCTGGGAGCCTTTTGAGGAGGGAACACATACTGTAGGGCTAGCCTCGTCTTCTGGGCTTGCGGAGACTTTGCGTATCGCGGCAAGAACACTTTGATAGCCAGGACTGTCTTCATCAGCAAACTTCGTCATGCTAGAGTGATCTGCGTTAATAGAAGAATGGTCTGAGAACCCCGAAATCCATGAGTTTCGTTCGGGTACAACCTAAAAAATCGAATTAACTTCTAGATAACAAATGATATATGGGGCAAATTACTAAAAAGCCATGCAGCTTCTTGGTTTCATGGAAGAAAGCCACACGAATTTCCTTCTTATCTCTGATACGTTGATGCAATGCTGAAGCAAAGGACTCGGCCAGGATATGTAGCTTCTCTGACTTTTGATCGAGATCTTTGACTTTCTGAGGGTCGGTGGCATGAATGATGTTGACCATGGAGCTTATTATTTTACCCCAAGAAGCCACAGGTGAGCCATAAAAGGGCGTGCCTAGGAAGACCATGCCGCGAGTTTTGTCAGTAATGAGTGATGGGTTGTCAGTTCCATCACCCAAAGCGCCTTTAACTATCGCCTAAGTAATATATGATTAGCGGCAAAGGTTGTAAAATACCTAGGAACAGAAGCTCTCACCGAAGCACAGACCAATCCTCCAAGGCTATGTGCAACAAACACCAATGCGCGATCGGACTGAGCGTTTCGTTAGTTATTTGGTAGTAAGGCAGAGCATTGTGAGCTCACTGTTTCCGTCTTAGCTCGATACCCAGCCAACCTCTCACACAAGTCAGCCGCATGAGACTCCATAGTCCCCTTGGTGACCTCTTCATTGAGGTTGCGTTTAGTCACATCCGCGTCGTAGCCGAATGTAAAAATGCGAGCCTTTGACAGGTCCTGACTAAGGAGTTGTTTGGGCCAAAGGACGCCGTTCTTTGACCAAGTACTAATTCTGTTTCCGAATAGTCCATGGACAAAGACGATACTGCGATGAAAGTTAGATGCCTCCTGGGAATGCGGGGAAGTGTCAGCTGCGAGACGCACTCGAGATCTGCATCCTCGGGGCTGGAAAGCTGCTGAAGGCCAAGCTGTGACATATTGCTATTGATGTTGCTTGCTCTCTTTCTGTCTCTCTACGGTCAAGAAAGAGAAGACTCGTGCTTAAGACGAAAGATGCCCTCAGAAAACCGTCTTTGAATTTATAATTTTGCCGTTGTCTACGTAAATCAGGCTCCAGTACTGTCGAAAAGCTGAAAAAGCGACTCCACCCCGCTGAAGTCCAAGCCGCACTGGTTGGCCAGTTACTGTTGATCGGGTTGAAGCAATCCTTGGCCATGGGAAGTTGATTGGATAAACATAAATTGGGCGTCGACTGGGCGCTTAATCAACTGGGACAGTGTGTGCCGCTCAGGTGGGCTGGGCCGGCGTCAGCAGAAACAAGGCTCGGGATTAAAAGGATTCAGGCCGCCATTAGGCATTCACGTCTACGACTAATTTGAGAAACGAGGTTTGACCTGAAGTATGGCATCGCCGTCTACTACAACTGTTAATGCAGATACTGTCCAGAACCAAGTGTTCAGGGATCAGCATGTGGGATACCAAGTTTTCAATACGTCAGTGGGCTCCAACTGACTGATCGATCACGCAGAGTCCTAGACTGACAGACTAAGCAGGCCTACCGACACCTCGCAGTCGCTTGTGCAAGACTGTCTCCGATCGCTGGCATACCCGACCATGAACGACCGGTCCAATGCTGTTAAGATAGCTACCGGAGGAACCTGCAAATGGCTGCTTGGACATGGGCGATGGAAAAGCTGGATATCTTCGCATCGGGACCTGCTCTGGATTAAAGGAAAGCCGGGCTCGGGGAAATCGACTTTGCTACACTTCGCCTTGCGGGAGGTGAAGTCTTCTTCAGCGGCTAAACATGGCTTGATCATGTCCTTTTTCTTTCATGGGCGTGGCGACGGGTTGCAAAAAAGCCCATTGGGCCTCTTCCGGTCACTTTTGCATCAACTCCTTTCCGAGATGCCTGATGCATTAGGTAACCTAGTCAACACATTCCAACAACGACGAGACGGTATTGGAAAACCGGGAGCTGCTTGGGACTGGGAGCTTGATGAGCTTCAGAATGTCTTCAAGTGCTCAATTGCCGATGTGCTCAAAGGCCGTCCAGTCTGGATATTTGTTGATGCACTCGACGAGAGCGGGGCTGAGAATGCAAAGCTTGCGATTCGTCACTTCAAAGATATACTGCAAGGCCCATCTTCTCGCTCATCGCTTCATATATGTTTTTCCTGTCGTCATTATCCGGTCCAGAACTGGGAGAGCGGCTTTGAAATCCATGCTGAGAAGGAAAACAGGGAAGATATACTCACCTATGTTCGCGCCCAATTCTCCGGTTACAACAATCCAGTTCTCAAAGGATTGCCTGATCGCATTGCTCTCAGCTCTAATGGCCTTTTTATCTGGGCCCGGCTCGTTGTTGATCAAATTCTCGACCTTGACCTGGAAGGCAGCCCCGCTACTGCGGCTCGTATGATCCATGCGATAATCGAAAGATTACCCCAGGATTTAAACGAGATGTATAGCGGAATAGTAAAAGAAATTTCAAGGACGCCAGAAGCTATCAAGTTGATGCAGTTGATGAGCTGTGCTGAGCGGCCTTTGCATCTAGACGAGATACGGTGGGCTATAGCTCTTAACATCGATCCTCTGCCCACGTCACTGGAAGAGGTTAAAAAAAGTCCGGAGTATATTGAAAACGACGAGAAACTGGAAAAGAGACTCAGAATCCTTACTCATGGACTGGCTGAAACCATTTCATCTTCCACTGCACGAACAGTGCAATTCATTCATCAGTCAGTCAAGGACTTCTTCAATACTGGGCCTGCAATGCCTATGACAATGTGGCCGAGATGGCGTATCACAAACATGGAGTTCGGACATCAGCATATATACAGCTTATGCGTGAAATATATGCTTATGGAGGAATGGGTACGTCTCCAAGACCCGGATCTTCACCCACCGGACGATTTCCCCGACGCACCCAGCGAAAAACTACTTTCTGATTTCCCTTTGTTCTCCTATGTTTCCACATACTGGATAGTCCATCTAGAGAAAAGCCTACCATTACTGGCTGTGGGTTCCGACTGGCCCTCCAGTAAGTTTCTGGAACATTGGACTAAAGCATACTACGCCGTATTTGGGAACTCACGCGAAAGGCCACCTCTTCAAATCAACCTTGTGCACATGTTGGCGAGACATGGATTGGACATCCCGCTAAACAAATTTCTTGCAGGACCTGGTATCTTCTACATAAATTCAGTCGATGTCTACGGCCGAACGCCGTTGCTGTACGCTGCTGAAAGAGGGCACGTGCATACAGCTGAGATCTTGCTTAAAGAAGGGGCCAACGCCAACATACAAGACCATTCTGGGGCGACACCGTTACATTGGGCTGTTCTTAGAGGCCATACGAGGACCTTTTCACTACTGATTAGGGGTGGAGCTAACCCTGGACTGCGAGACAAGGGAGGCTGTACTGCGTTGGAATGGGGTATAGAGGGAGCCCAGAGCACCAGCTCTATCTCGTGTGTGAAGACACTCCTCCAAAACACTCCAAATCTCAGCCAAAATCTCAACTATGAGTATCGGCTCATTTGGACCGGCATAAAGTACTCAGCCTACGAGCTAGGAATGCCTCCCATTTCTGGTTATGAGTTCTTCGGAGTTGATAGCGGGTCGAAGCTCTTCGCTCATCCTTATCAAACAAGAAAACACCTGAGCATTGCTTGGATGCCTCAAGAGAAGCCATGCAAAATATGGACGTCTCGCAATCATTCTTCACCTGTGGTCGAAGCCATAAACCGATATGTAAAGCAAGACGAATATCCCATGATGCGTGATGGCAGCAACAGAATAGGTCAAGTACATGTAGATCGGACGCCTCTCTTGCGGGCAGTAGAGTTAGGAAACATAGCCATTGCCAAAATGCTGCTTGCAAATGGGGCAGACCCAACGTTTGAATGCAGTAATGGCTGGTCGCCGATACGGCTAGCTAATGCAAGGAGATACAGCACAGACAAGGTGTTCTTGGAGTTCTTGGGAAGAGAGTATGGTGAAGAAGAAGACACAATCCGCAGGCTTATAGAAGCAACGAAAAAAGCAGTATTTTCATTGGTCTACTTCTAGATATTGTAGTCAAGAATAGATGGGTTATAGGTGGACGAGGATGAATTGAGTAATTCGGGTAGGAATAAATTGAGTTTAGGAACATGTAGTAGAATGCCACTACCGAATTTTGACTGCTGACAAAACCAGAACCAAGATGGGTGATAAGATCTTACAAAATATCAAAACGATCCATACATGAATTAATCCGCCGCCATTGATCACCTCCTGACCCATACCCTCGCTCTTGGATCAGGTATCATATTTCGCGGCCTGCCTTTCCCACCTGGCGATTTAAAGTCATAATGTAAAAGAAAAATTGCCAAGGTAAGTTTCATCTTATTCGACGTTTAGAGCCGTCCAGGACGTGGATGCGTTCCGTACCCGAACGCAGTGTTGCTTATATCTGTCATAGAAAACAGGTATCCTTCCGTAGGTATCCGATCAGACTTACAAAGGAATACTGGGTTGAAGTGCTGTAATTCTGTGAAAAAGTTGTCCAGTTTATGTAGTCGGTTTAAAGATGTCTTATCCCATCTATTACCACGAAGAGTGTGGTTGGCCTCTTCTCTGAGTGGCTCAAAGTACTGTGGATGAGCATACAAGCCGTACACGGCATGTGTCATGGTCATTGTTGTTGGGTGAATTGACGCTAGACTCAGTATCAAGATCCTCTGGGAGATGTTATTAAAACCTTGAATAACTTACTTTAAAGAGGCAAAGCCAGAAAGTGCTTTTTTTACTTTATTCTTTAGTTACTCTTTGAGTATAGCTTTGCTTAATAAAGGTTAATATATAAGGAAGATATTAAAATATAGCCCTCTATATTATTATAACCCTTAATAAATATTATATTAATCAAGTAAAATAATATTAAAAGAGTAATACAAAAGTAAAGTAAAGTAAACATAATACTATAATAGCTATAAAAGCCCCTTAAAATAAAGAGACAAACTACGTTAAAATCATAACCTACACTAACCGTAGTAGTTTATTACTATACCAAGATTATATATTTTATAATTATAATTATACTATATAGTATATACAGCGGAGAAGCATATAAAGAAGACCTTAAAGCGTTTAAGTATATAATAGTAGTATATATACTACTAAAAATATAACTATATTTTAATATAAAATAACTACAGCCTATAAGGTTAAGCTTTAGGCTAAAAATATAGATAATAAATAATAATATAATATTCTTTTTTTCCTAATATAAGCTTTTACCTATAAGCTTTTATAATAACTAATAAATCTTATTATAAGCCCTAGGGTATTATAAAAGAAAAAGACTAAGAAGTATATAAAGAAATATAACCTTAAGTTTATATTTCTATATATATATTATAATATAACTCTATAAATAATATATT